TCAAATATAGCATATCGTATTCGTTTACACCACGATTGTTTCGCAGGCGATAATAACAGAAGTGGTACAGTAACTAATACACGACATCCTTGAATATTGTCATGATAATCTCGTGTAAATATTACAAAAAAAGGTTTATCAGCGCTTTGGTAGGCGCCACGTAAACACAAATACCATTTTTATCTTCATCTTTCAATACTGAATTAATTGCATAATCCGATGCATAGGTTTTACCGGGAAAAAAAATAAACAAACTTAATAAGTTTATTAAGGTAGACTAGAGTGGAAGTTCACACTCTCATTCTAAAGTGAAAAGAACCTATCGATTCTATTTCTTTTTTTTATGTTGTTTTCTTACCAACTATTCCACTTTCTGTCATCCGATAAAGGTTTGGCATAATAATAGATCATCTATTCAGAAAAGCTTCACGTACGTGATACCCTTTAAATGAGAGAACTGTTGTCTATCTAAAAAGGCTGAGCTCGGATACTTTTCACCTAAATAGTTTTAAAAATTTGTAATGAAGGCAAATATTTCGAAAGAATTTTCAAATATCTGATTGAAAATATCGAGAACATGCAATAGAAATATTCAAATAAATAGAAAAATTCACTTTACAAGTGTTTTTAGTGAAAATGGTGTCTTTTAGTTGATTCTAATCCAGTGCTGAAAAGAAACATAAAACTTACTTGAATGATCTGTATTAGTCTGCAAATTCAGAATGTACCTTATCTTGTATTCTTCAAGAAGAATAACGTATATTCTCGAAAATTTCTTCTGAAAAATGGTGAAAGGATTTTGAGTTTATCATGGTTTTGTTACCGAAAGTGTAAAAACAATTAAGTATGCCATATGAGGAAGTTTTGAAAGAAATTAATTTGTTCGATTTGAGCAAATTATGCCGTTCTGGTGTTAGATCAATAATATAAAATCTCAATTTTCGTAAAAATCGACTTTTTGTAGGCGAATCTTATTCCAAGCATGGCTAGCAAACTCAACATGATGGAGTACCTATGTTCTGATGCACTTCTAAAGTATGTGGATCAATGTTTACCAATACCGGGATCACCGCAAATATGTCACGGCTGAATCAGTGAAACTACAGTTCGCGTCTGAGTCTCATATCGAAGAAGGGACTGAGAGCTAGCTATGCACAAAAAGAGCAAATGTATTCTTCCTTCCAGCTGTCTGAGACATGTTATTTTAAAAAATCATCCTCCCGTATAAATAGATCGAAATGCATAGAGTTACAATTACCTGATGCTGTTGGTGCTGGTATAATGATAGATGTTTTTTCATCGTCAGCGTTGAGAAAATCAACTTGCCATTTATCTGGTGTAAAATCATTTTTGACACGTTCATCCGGAATATCTTGTTCACGGCGTGACAATCGACTGTTAATTATATGCATTTGAAATCGATAACATGTTTCTAGTGTTAATTCGACATTTATATCCTTTTCTCTCACATTAACTAATTCTTTCATTAATTTTTCATTTTCTTTCCATGGATTCAAAATATTTTCTAAATGAGTAATTTCTGTGATAGTAGCAAAGTAAGATATCTGTAAGGATTCTAGATCAGATTTTAAAGATGTTGTTATTGAGTTTTTCATTGATTTGAGATGTTTTTGTTGAATATCATATTTGACTTTTAATAACTTTAAACGTGAGACATCTGTTTTAATTGATGACAAATTGTTTGTAAGAATCTCAAGTGCTCTAGACCAACCGTGATTGTTGATCATTTCTTTTATGTTATCCGCTGCGACTGAAATTTGTTTCGTTTCTTCTTGAATTTTTCTGTTCAAATTTCCTTTTTGATTTTCATCGATAATTTTCTGTGCTTTTATTGATTTTGAGAATGAACGATTCTGATGCGTTTGTTTTTGATCATTTTTTGTCGTTGTGGTAAAATAATTTTTAAATTATCATCTCTAATATCACGTGTTGTTAATGACACATCATATTTTGTTATATAACGATAAAACTGTTGATGTTTTTTAGTTAGATAACCTTGTCGATTATTAGGCCGTTTAGTACTATCATTATGATTGACAGGTTTTGTTTGTCTCATATTTCGAATGAGTTTTTCATATTCACTACCAACTTCTTTGTATACATGCCAATGATGTTTACCTTCATAATGAGGAAGTGTCGTTTTCAATGATACTGTGTTTTTTTCGTATTCAAATGCGCAATTGGATAATTTTAATATTGGTTTTAAATAAGTATTAATAATTAGTCAGTTTGAAACTTTTGATATTATTTTGTTCGTTAGTAGTGCATCATTCATAATAGCAGATATACCTGGAACAGTGATATGTTTTGTTATAAATAAATTTTTCCTTGTTGAACCAGTTCTTCATCAATATCATTTAATGTCTTGGATTGCAAAATTTTAGAGCAACATTTGACTATTTCATTCATCACAGCAGATGTTTGTGAATCGAGACGAAATTTATCATTAGAGTCGAGTAGTAATAGTATAAATGCAATTAAACGTCCATCAAACATATCAGAAATTTTGTTGTTAGAAAATTAGTGCATATTCGGTTCGTTTACCAAACTGAATGATAAAAGATATTGAAAGTGGGACTAAGGTCAATTTGTGGAATGCTTAATTAAAATGCTTTCCTCCTAAAAGAAAGTAGTGAAGATATTTCTTCGTTGCATTGAACAAAAGAGTACCTTTGCTAGAAACCAGCGAATTCTCCAACATTATTCATTGC